ACCAAGACCAAGACCAAGACCAAGACCAAGACCACCACCAAGACCAAGACCAAGACCAAGACCACCACCACCACCACCAAGATCACCACCAGGACCACCACCACCACCAGCACCACCACCACAACAACAAACACACCACATCACAACAGAAACCAGCAAGACACAACACAAGCAAAAGCGCAGCCATAACAAACCAACCGCCATGGATGAGAATATTAGCCTGGCTACAGAGAGTGGTGGAAAGGCTACCCTGAAAAGAAAGAACAAGCCCACTCGACCTGGGACTTAATCACCTTCACCACTTTGACGAATACGGACGGCCATGGTGGGCGCTCTCGATCCTGGGCGTGGCTTGCAACACTTTCAGCGAGGGCGCTCAGGCCATGAAAGTGTATCGACAAAGGCGCTGCCAGGAAAGAGGTCCATACAAGCCTCCACGGATCATGCGGCTTCTTACCCAGCGACCAACTGCGAGTTCCTTCCCGATTTATCCCGCCTGAGACACCCAGTGCGCGCTAAGCTCACGGGGCTACCATTGCCTTTGGTGCTGGGGCTCTAGCAGGATAAAAAGTTAATACAGAATAGCCAACCGCCCACTTGCAACCTTTAGCGTATTCTCATCCATGAACGAACGACGCAATGAACAAAAGCAAAGCATCAATCAATCGACAACCTTATATATATAATATATACATATATATATATAAAAGACATATAAAATGTATAAATTCAATACTTCATATATTCTAGAAACTCCATGCCTATAATACAATATTATATATTCAACCTAAGGAATTAATCGAAAAATAACGAATGATTAAAAAACAACTAAATCAAATCGATTGAACATATCAAACAAAAAAATAGACTTTGCAAAAGCATGCAACATATCGTAATTCACATATGCATATATATATATATTGATTAAATCAAATGCCAAAATAATATTTAAAATAATATATAAATATATTTTATCTATATGATTTTTGATTTTATCTTGTCAACTATATGTATATATAGAATAGTTAACCTATTTTACATATATATTCTATTCTTTATTATTAGATTTGCACCGTATTCACATCCCTCAATTTATCTTTGGTAAATCTATATCTATTATATATAACTACTTTGGAATAGTAATGAAATATCACATATAGAGATATATATCAAGGATTTCTGGAAATCTCTACGCTGTTTCTTTCGTACGCCGACCCTATTGTTGGCAAATGCGTTTTATCCTGTAGCCTGCAACCTATAAGTCTCAAGCATCCAACAGCTAGCAGCTAGCAGTTAATATTCTAACTTCAATATTGAGGTTTCAAGCACTTCACTCATGACCCATGACCTGTGCAATGTGAATTATTATCTCGCAAAAGTCAGCACAAAGTACTCAACTAGTCTTGGGATGTTGTATCAATCAATATGATTGGAAATTTGCATGATATGGAGAATTGCTTGCCTTCGACAATCCAAGCTTTCGGTTCCACTCGAGTGGTTCACTGGCTGTCCATTGGCAAATCTAGAATTGAATGCACCCGATGCCGTATCGTAGAACCACCCATCGTATTGCGTTCGGTCAAGTATCTGAGGCGAAGCAAATCGATTCACGTCGATCAGCCCATGTTTGAACAACGGTTGCAACCCTTTGAAGTCTTGCTCGGAGCCATTTTGTGCAGACTCCCTTTCGGATTCGTTATATTCACGGGATTGCGAAAAAAGGCATCTATGTGCACAGGAATGCGATAAAATGGGCATGTATGTTTTCTTCACAGTCAATTTTGATAGACACGTCAAAGAATTGAAATTTGACCCAACCCGACATGACTTGCCAGCGTCCAGCAAAAATTGAGTGTGAAGTGCATGGCCGTCTGCCATCGTGGCCTTCAAATCTAACCCCCTTTGCAAAACAATCAAACTATACAATTCAATTACAATACGTGAATGCTTTGCTTGTGCCATATATGCAAGAACATACATCCAACCCAGGACCAATGGACATTCAATTACATCAAACATTTAAAAATATATCATATAGACAAAAACTTTGGACAATCTATCTAGCTTCCGCGTCCCTGCAAAACAAATCACACAGCAAATCTGACCTGCAAAGATTCTTTTTATATAGCACTATCCTCCTCTCCAAGCTCTTTCAAGTTTGTTCCCATAGATTTATGGTGCTTGCAATCTGAACAATGATGAATCAAACCCTTACGAATCAAAAAAATATGTAATATGTAGGAACCGTTCCATGAAAAGCAGCGAAAACCCGTGCTCTTCAATGCCAGCCTCCATAACTCAAAAGTTAATAGTTTAATTTCCATTTGAATGTATTTCACTCCTAATTTCTATGCAAGCGCAAGGGAACATATTGTCCATGAGGAAGTAGAGCAAAGCATCGGATCTCTTCATTGTCCTTTTTCACCTATTCCAGGCGCATAAATGAAGCGAATTGGAAATGATCGAAATTCTGCAACTAAAACAGGAAATTCTTCAGCACCATACTCATGCTAATTATTTCATAGGGTGAAGATAGCTCGCTAACTAATAGAAAGGCAAGATTAAGATACAAGGAAACATTCATATATATTTATATAAATCAATATTCCAAAAAAACAATGAAATTTGGGGATTAGATCAATCATTAAATACAATAAGCCAATAATAATCACAATAATAAGCCAAAATATACACAAATCAAGAATATAAATGAATTCGAGAACATATGAAAATTATTCGGAAATATACATATGCCCAATACCTTTAAACCATACCTTACAAAGTACAGATAAAAAATGATAAAAATATAAACCTCAATGATTTAAATACAAATCAAGACAAACTCACTAGTTCTAAGAAATATTCATAATCATCACCTCCGGAAGAAATACTTTGTTTGCCTGCTCCAACACTGCAAACATATAATAATAAACAACTGCGCTATTCAAAATCGCACCAAATCCTGTTCATATCAACCCGCCTTACCTCCTATATCAACCAAATGCTTATAAAACGATATCTGCTGAATACCTCTTTTGCTTGCAACTCTTTCTTCATCCCAAAAATCATCAAACTAACAAACTTTCCTCCAAAACTCTTTCAGCCCCTCTTCATCCAATAAATATTTCAACCCCCCGAAGTCCATTAAATCTTGAAATCACTTTTGCTTCAAGATCTCTTTGAGAATCTTTGCATTACAATAAAAAATTCGTTAGAAGATTGTAATCGTGCCAAATTCCATTGAAGCTTCAAACATTCCCCCATCACCAAAACGGTTGAACCAACAAGCCGTCTTCATCTCAGATTTTTTGAAATCCCTCTTCATCGTAAAAGTGCTTCAATCCACCATGATCATATAAATCTTCTGCCTAATCTCTTGTGCTGGTAAATATATTTAAATATATCTATATCCTAATTCCTTTCATTCCCAACTTCTTGAAATCAATCTTGATGAAATCAATCTTGAAGAACCAATGAACCAATCTTCGTGCTAAGTTGAATTAAACCTTCAATCTGTTTTGCCAACTTTCTGCATGCTAAAAACGTTAGACTAAGAATCCCTTTCAATCAATATCTTTTGTTGCTAAAATCATTTGCTTGTGCAACCTTTTATTCTTGTAGTTGAATCGCAATCCTGCTTATTTCATCTGATTGACACAAAATATAAGCTCCTTGAACCAAAAAACACACTATAAATCAGAGTCATGCACCCCCAACGTGTCAAACCTTATCTGCGCAAATTTTATAATCTTCCCACTTCGTGCGCAAGGTCTTCTCAAACCTTCTTTCTCAAACCCATGCCTTGAACACCTTCTTTGTTCTGGAATCCTTTCAAAAAATATTCATCAAATGATTTGTATTTTCTCAGATCCTGGTCCAGCTTGCTCTTTACAAAATTTATGCTTGCTGCAAGTGATTCTGCCAAACCCCTATCCCGTCATGTCAAACCTTCGCCGCGCAAAGCCACCTTTTATATCTATTCTTATAAATGAATCAACCAATTGCATTAAAGAAATTATCAAAATCTTATCATTCGAACCCAATACTATCATTATTCGCTCCAAGATTTAATTCTACTACTCAATCTATTCCTCCTAATACCTTCTTTTGGAATTTAATACCATTAATAATATAACCTCCAAAATTACAATTCGAATATCACGTTAGTGTAATCGTATGCAACCCTAAATAATCAAATCGTAAAATTTTGTCAAAATAATTATCCTAATTGAAATTAAAACAAAATTCGTTTAGGCACAAACAATGCCCAATTAGAATATATAAATAAATAGATTAGCGTATATGATTCCCATAAAATACATTCTAATTATATATTCTTCCAATTTCTTCACAACATTAATTTTGCATTCATAAATAATAAATAATTCTATATTTTTGATTTAATAGATAAATTAATGTGCCAATTTACATAATATAAACATATAACAAAATCCTCTTCGTCCTAGACAAACATCTTTTTTATCCTAATTTCTTTCCTTTGTATCTCTTCTTTTTTTAAATAAATTATCGTTTTTTCCTTTTCTATTTATAATATGTAATATATAATATATACCATATTTTATTTTATTTACGCTATTTTATCCAAGAATCAATATATATTTTTTTTCCTATAATACCTTCTATTTCTTTCTTTTTCTTTCCCATTCCCATCCTCCCCAAAAAATTAATATTTTTTTTTTTTTCAAAATAAAAAATCAAATATCTATATAAGAAATTGGTCGATGCCAAAAAAATTATCTATCCTATCCTTTAATTAATTTATCGAAATAATTCAGCAAATTTCTAAGACTAATTTAATAAATATCTAAACAAAGATCAAAACCATCTTCTTTATATATTCCATCTTAACATACATCAATCCTATACAATTCAATCATTTACAATCGCGACAATTACAACCATAAATTTGCAACTATATCCTTTTAGTATTTCTGCATATCATATTATTAATCTTTTTTGTTTTCTAAAGATTTTTTTGTCTTGAAAAAGAATATTTAAATATATAATAGATATTTTTCTTATGCAATCTTTCGCTGTTTCCCTATTTATGTACATAATCTTATGAATATATCATATGTGTTTTGTTTCATTTCAGATCAATGCAGGATGAAGTCTCCAGAAACAGTCCGGAAATCCTCTAGGAGCCAAAAAGGACGAGCGTGCTGCAAAGCTACAGCAACATTTGTCGATGCAGATGCAGTGGCACTCACTTGACAAAATTTGTCCTCAACAGCTTGCCCTTGGTAGCGGCATTGCGAATAAGTTTGGTCACATGCTCGACATAGTCCCAGCTGCACATAGCTGTTTCAATGATCAAGGGATGAACTTTACCTGTATACTTCAGCCTCAACGAAAGCGCCCGGGGCTTTGGGCCAGGCAAGTTCTCGAAAATATGAAGGCAAGCGGAATTGCTGAAGACCAGCACGGAATTCTCTTTCAAGACTCCCTCATATGATGGGTATTTTGGTATCTCACTTGAATCCAGCGGAAACAAGTAGTCATCCTTGTAGTGAACTGGAAGACGTTCTGTCGCTGCCCTTGTCAAGATCTTCACGTATTTGCTTCCATGAGCCATGTAGTACACATTCACGGAGCCGAACATAGCATCAACATGAGGTCCTGAAGTGGAGTAATTGCCCAAGAACCACAAAGGCCAATTCAATCGGGGATGGCGAAGCCTAGGGAGAATTCCCTGGACAAATTTGTCCAGTTCTCCGTAGTTCTCATGCCACTTCTCAAATTTCACGATAAGGAATTCGTCATCATCCTTGTAGCCGTCCTCAGCGAGTGTCTTATGCAAATAGGCCTCAACTGCTTGAGATTTCTCTGCGGGTATAACTGGATGATCCTCAGGCCACTGGATCAGGAATGGAACGTCATCAGCAATCAATTGTCGCATTTTCTGAAGATCAGCCTCTGTGCTTGGTGGCGCAAACATTGGCATGGCCACGGAAGGAATATCAGACTTGGACCTTAGGATTGTATGAATGGAAAAAAACACGCAAGAGCTGCAAACCTTTGAGAAACTCACCTGAAAACATTGAACAGAAGATATGTCATGCAATGTGTTATGTAATCCAGGAGGCCCAATGTGCTCCTTCTTGTCGGGAACGGCTGGCTGGTAGCACACGTAGTCTTGAACGCCCTTCAGTGCCAGCCCAAGACGTAGTGCTGGCTTGAAGAGCATATCCAGGTTGAAGCACGACATTGACATGCGACGGAAGAAAAACAACCTAACTAATGATGTAGAACCTAGAACCCTCCACAGCCTTTGCTGTAGCCAAGTTGCTTCCAAGTTCAGCAAATGCAGCTAAGCATGACAAATTGTAACTCCAACACGAGTGCAGCGAGGGTGAAGGGCAGCACATTTTTGTTAGCCTCTGAAGTATTGAACATGCACATCGCTAAGTGAGGGCAGTGTGCAACTTTCATTCGAAAAGCACAGCCTCAAATTGTCTAATCTCAGCCTGCTGCCTGTCCATGACAATGTCATATGACTGGATTGTTGGACGTTGCAAGACCGCTTCTGGAAGAACACATGTTGTATGAGTTTAATCAAGCCGGTTTTGGACTACAGACTACGGTAGTGACTATTAACTAGCACGTCCTTTTTGCCAATAGAAGGATACTTGCTTGGGCTTTGTAGAGCTGTCGGGCGCTCTTTGGTCAACATAGCAGCCTATGGACACTCGGTCATGCCTGCTTGTACTGGTGGTCCGGTGATGCTCAAGTCTCCTTTTGAAGAGAAGTTGCAGGCTGAAGACCGAACGCAGGAGTCGCACATCGGAGGAGTTGGTGAAACTTCTAGCCTTCTAGGTGTTGACATTTTTGGACTTAGTTCTTGCTCCCTGAAGTTCTCAGTCTCATGCTGAGTCGACGAGGTGAAGCAACGGCGTTCTGGTCAACGTCTGGTGACGTTGCGACAGTATCCTGGTTTTGTTGTGTGGCATGCATTTGTTGGGTCATGGTGTGGGACCATGTTGTGACATCTGGCAGTTGTCCCAGTTGGCATTTTTTCAGCCCTAGATTCACTATACCAAAAATTCACCCGAAACACGTCTAGCTAGGTCATTATGATATCTTGTAAAATCTGCGACCGTCAGACTTCCATAGGGATGAGATGGGATGAACTCAGTTCTGTTGCTGTCCATTTCCCCTACAATCCAAATGTCTCTGAGAAAGCTCCGGTGAAGCCTGCACGGAGCAAGCAAGCTACCTCGAACATATCAGGGTCTCCTGTCTGAAGGACTGATTCGATCCAAGCCAGAACAGTTCTGCTTACAAACTGGAGGTTGGGTGGTTCCACGACTTGAATATTTTTTGAAATCAATCCCTTTCCCTACAAATACCTGCAGGCAGTCCATGCAAATGTTCTCGCTTCGATGATCGACATGCCAACGGAAACTGATGTGCATTGTGCTTGCAAGGCAACTTTGAGCGAAACATCACCACTCCGCAGCAGCTTGAGTTGGAATGTGTTGGCAACGTTGGTAAGCAGGACAGCAGTGTTACGTTGTCGGATCATCATTCATAGGTTTTATATGTGTTAGACAGGTTTGCCAATCTTGTCAGCTTCAGCGTTCTTCAGCACCTCGAACGCCAAGAGCGGTTCATATTCATTATTCACATACATACAATACCTGAGAAAGGAGGGGATAAAAGCCAGCCTCCATAAGAAGACATCAACTTGAGGCCAGAGGGGGTGAACGAAAGCTAGCCAGGCTTCCGGTGGTCTGCTGCTGGTGCTGCTGCTGCTCTGCAGGCGCCGGGTCGTCTGCTGCTGCTGCTGCTGGCGCTGGGTGGTCTGCTGCGGCTGCTGCTGCCGCGGCGTTGGGTATGCTGCTGCCGCTGCTGCTGCCGCCGCTGGGTGGTCTGCTGCTGCTGCTGGTGCTGCTGCTGCTGCTGCCGCTGCTGCCGCTGCTGCGCTGGGCGCTGCAGATGCTTGGTGTGCTGCAGCTGCTTGGTGGTCCCGCTCACCGCGCGCAGGGGGGAGTCGAACCGCGGGGGGGGGGGGGCCATAAGATTGATTTAATCAATTATTTGAGGTTTCTGAGGTGCGTCCACCCCGTCACTTAACTTGCTAAAGCAAGAGCAACTCCAGCTAGCTAAGGCTAGCTTTCGTGATATGGCAATGGGGGATGAAACCGAGAGTGCACTGGAACTGAAAGACTTGGCGTGCAACATCATCGGGCAAAGAGTGCCTTTGCTATGGGGTGAAGTCGACATTGCAGCCACCCCGACAGGGGGTAGAAATAGAAAGCAGAATACGTAGAAGGGGGGGGTGCCCTTTTTTTGCTCCTGGTTCAAAGGCGCTTTCAAGCTGAAAAAGGGTACCCCTAAAGAATTGAGGGGCGCTTGGCGCTTGCTAGCTGCGTGTTCCCAAGCAATGAGCGAAGATGGCTGTGGGGGGTAAGGATACATATATGTATATGGGTGGTGCCCTTTTGCGTATGGTTGACAGGCATCTTTACCATTCAAAAAGGGCACCCCCAAGCAATGCCCAGAGTTCTTGCAAGCCCCCTTTCCCTACCCATCCTCCTCCGCTGTGCCTGTCTTCCCACAACATTCTGTTCCCCCTCCGGCCTTCACAGATCACACAATGTCAGAGTCTTAGAGACACGCGCCTCCCTCTCACGCCTAGTCGAACATTATTTCAATGGCACCCCCTTTCCTGGAGGAGTTCCACCCACTTTTCGCGCCCCACTGTCCCCTCTTTCCTATCGACATAAACTCCCACCCCTGGTAGAAGACGGTTTACATTGCATTCGCGCCTTTCGCCGTCAATTACATCACTTGCATCACTTGCACACCAAAAACCATCCGTTTTCAATCCCAAGCGGACCTGCGTTCTTTTCGCGCTTCCCCATCAGGCTCTGGGCTAGCCCTCCGAAATTGGCCCGTGCGCGACCACCCCCCACACCCCCTTTACTCACTTCGCTCGCCCAACCCAACTTCAGCCTAGCCTATCGGCTGGCTGTCGTGATACATATACTGTATATATATATATATACAAGCAGTTCCCGGGCAAGCCGGCGGCGGAAGCTTTCTATAAGAACAATTTGACCTATAGGAGTGTCCCTTCGCACATGCCCTGCGGACTCCCTTGTTTTCCGGCCCGCAACGATGGCGTCACGCAAGCACCCCGCAACGGCGTACTCGCTCTGGCAGTGTGCACGCAGCGGCTTCTTCTTTTGCTTTTCATCGGTGGTTCACAGCAACGCACCGAAGTCCAAGAGCACAGCCGACGCGTCACCGACTCACCACATCCTTTTGTTCCACACAGTGCAAAGAGTCGCGCGGTAGCAGCTGTCTATGCTGTTCTCAATAAGAGCATTTCACGGCTGTCTGCGCGATCCACAGCGATGCACGCAGACCGATGCCTCTTGGCAAGACCAAGGAACGGTTCACCCAGCACCTCTGGCAGGGTCTGGACGAGGTGGAACAACTGGCCACGGGGGTGGTTCTCTGCCAGCAATCCAAACCAGCGGGGGCTGCAGTAGCAATCTGCGCACCAGCGTGTGGCATATGCAAACGACCACCGTGCGCGGTTTTGGAAACCTTGATCCAGGTCCCAATGAAGTCAAGCCTCCTGGTTTCGCAATCGAGTGCATTGCGCTAGTTTAGCAGTCGCTGCAAGATGGTCCCTAACCAAAACCTCCCAGCAAGCTTCGCAGACGCCACTTTTCGTGTGCTCAAAGATGCCTTCTGCAGCGCGCGTGCTTGCGTTTGCGCACGTAATGCAGTGCGTCGCATCCAAGACAGGCGGCGCCCGCAGATGTTGCTGCAACACATCATTGAAATTTTGCAACATTGGATCTTGGAGCACAAAGAAGTTGGGCAAAGCCATGGCGAGACTGAGGCAGTCCACAACGACGTACCACAGGCAATCGCACTGGGTTGATTCGAAGACGTTGGAGTTGTAATGCAACATGACTGCTGGCTATGATCACGACTGTTCAGACAGCTTTTGAAAGCATATGCTCGAGCAATCTATACATATCCATATACAGCAGTGAAGCAACACATATGCTACAGCACATTTCTATATACTTATACATATCCAGATACAGCGCTCCATATATGCTACCTGTAGCAATGAATATATACCCTGACTTGCCAGGTTCGGAGCCGCCATTTTTATTGAAAAACGCAACATTTCGTGCGTCCGCTATCTCTCAACTATAGTAACTATAGGACCGGATAACTCTTTGAAGATAGAACTGATTAGAGCGGAGCCAAAAATACACACATCGAAACAGCAGAAGAAGAAGAAGAAGAAGAAGAAGAAGAAAAAGAAGATAAACTGAGAGTAGACTGAGGCAAGTGGAGACACGTAAGGTGTTGGGTGTGTGATGGAACGGATGATAAACTGATGAGTACGAGCGGAGTGAGATGAGTGGAGATATGTAAGGGGGGGTTGAGTGAGTGATGCTGTATCTCGTGACGGGTGTATAATGTCGAGAAGTGCGTTGTGTGTTGATGTGTTGATGATGATGATGATGGTTATGTTGATGTTGATGAGGATGATGAGGATGAAGATGAAGATGAAGATGATGCTGATGATGATGATGATGACGGTGATGATTGAAGTCATTGAATGAAGATGATGGTGAATGAAGAGGATGAGGACGGGAGGAAGGAAGAAGGACGGAGGATGCAGCAAGAAAAACAATTACGCAACCGTAGACCCCAAACAGTTTGTGTTTTTCAAAAACGAAACTAGAGCTTGCGACGTCCAGAGCTGGGAGACAAAGGATTGCAAGGCAGAGGCGGCCACAGCAGCCCAGAGCTGGGTGGAGAGTGAGTGAGAGTGAGAGTGAGTGAGCGCGAGTGTGAGTGAGAGTGAGAGTGAGTGTGAGAGTGAGTGCGGGTGAGTGAGTGTGCGTGTGAGTGGAAGAGTGAGTGAGTGAGTGAGTGAGTGTGTGAGGGAGTGCGAGTGTGAGTGAGAGTGAGCGTGAGTGGCAGGAAGTGGGACAAGCGAGCCGGGAACCCGACCACAAGCAACCAGCCTGGGAGACAAATGAAAAGAAGTGGGAGACAAATGAAAGGAAGTGGGAGACAACCTGGCCGGGAACCCGACCACAAGCACCCAGCCTGGAGACAAGTGAAACGAAGTGGGAGACAAATGACAGGAAGTAGGAGACAAGCCAGCCGGGAACCCGACCACAAGCACCTAGCCTGGGAGATTACACCACCCTGTTTTTCAAAATCGAAACTAGAGCTTGCGGCGTCCAGAGAGATTGCAAGGCAGAGACGGACACAGCAGTACAGAGCGGGCGGACACATCTTAAGAAAGAATTGAGAAGCCCTAACAGTAAACCTTTTGGGGAATTATTCTTCAAGCGCGAACATGATGCTGGTCATGCTGCCCAGTCAGCGGGGAGCTGACCACGTGAGGACAAGAAACAAAAGCATGAGGAGCGAAGGATGTGACATGAAATTGATTGTTGGTGCCTGACGTATGCCCTCCGCCCCAACTGAACAGAGAGATCGCTGCCACGCCGCCGAAATCCAATCCGGTCATTCATCCAACGGTTGCCCGAAAAGGAAAACAAAGCTGAGAGAGTTACGCAGTGCGGCGGGAATGCAATCCCGGAGACAGTCACGCACCCCTTGCAAAGGAGCAAGAACCTTTCACAGGCGAACCGGCGAACCTGTTCCAGCGGACAGGGCAGAAAACAGAAAGACAAAAAGAAAGAAACCACATGGGAGACAAATGAATAGAAATGCTACATGGCCAGCGGAAAAGGGCCGCAGCACCAGTGACAGACCTGGGAAACAAATGAATAGAAATGCTGCATGCCCAGCGGAAAAGGGCGGACACAAGCAGTGACAGACCTGGAAAACAAATGAATAGAAATGTTGCATCGCCAGCGGAAAAGGGCGGACACCAACAGTGACAGACCTGGGAGACTAATGAATAGAAATGCTGCATGGCGGACGAAAAAGGCGGACACCAGACAGACCTGGGAGACAAATGAATAGAAATGCTACATGGCCAACGGAAAAGGGCGGACAGCAGTAACGGACCTGGGAAACAAATGAATAGAAATGCTTCATGGCCAACGGACACGGGCGGACACCACCAGTGACAGACCTGAAAGACACATGAATAGAAATGCTACATGGCACCAGCAGTGACGGACCTGGGAGACAAATGCGTAGAAATGCTTCGTGGCCAATAGACAAGGACACACCAGCGACAGACCTGGGAGACAAAAGAATAGAAATGCTACATGGCCAGCGGCAAAGGGCGGACACCGCCAGTGACAGGCCTGGGAGTCACATGAACAATTCTGCGAGACTTCCTCCCAAAAGGTAACTGGAAGACATGATCCCACCAGACATGAAAGGGCCATTTACATTGCGGGAACGATCCTGAGGTTGCAAAACGCAATGAAATTCGAGTGACAACTCATCCACCAGCAACACTTGCAATCGCATTTACAGTGCGGAAACCATCCAGGAGTTGCAAATTGCAATGGAATTCCATGAACAGCACGCGCACAAGAAACAGGTGAAAACTCTTGTTGCAATGCAGGGACGATTCGACCATGACGCGAGACCGTTCCGCAACCGTCGTTCCGCAGAGCTTGACTTGCCAGGTTCGGAGCCACCCTTTGTATTGAAAAACGCAACATTTCGTGCGTCCGCTATCTCTCAAACACGCACTTTGTACGCGACTTCCTTCCAAAATGCATGTTGAACACCTGCAAAACCAGAGCTAAAGCTAACTAAAGCTAGAGCTGACTGGTGCTAGAGCTAACTGAAGCTAGAGCGACTGGAGTTAGAGCAAACTAAAGCTAGAGCTGACCCACAGCTAGAACTAACTGGAGTTAGAGCTGACTAAAGCTAGAGCTGACTGGAGCTAAAGCTGACTAGATAGAGTTGCCTGGAGCTAGAGAGCTGACTGAAACTAGAGCTAGCTAGAGCTGTTGAAAGTCCGTAACACGGCAGTTTTGCAACCTAAACTTCCTTTGATAAACGTCCTGGGTTCAGTCTCCTTTCCGGCTTGTGGACTGCAAAGTCTCTCTATGGATGTCCAGGCGACAAGGGCAACGAAAAACAAAAGTGCTGCGGCTTCGCAGCAACTCCAATCATTTGTCGATGCAAATGCAGTGGATTGGAGCAGCACTCAATTTACAAAATTTGTCCTCAACAGCTTGCCCTTGGTAGCGGCATTGCGAATAAGTTTGGTCACATGCTCGACATAGTCCCAGCTGCACATAGCTGTTTCAATGATCAAGGGATGAACTTTACCTGTATACTTCAGCCTCGACGAAAGCGCCCGGGGCTTTGGGCCAGGCAAGTTCTCGAAAATATGAAGGCAAGCGCGGAATTCTCTTTCAAGACTCCCTCATATGATGGGTACTTTGGTATCTCACTTGAATCCAGCGGAAACAAGTAGTCATCCTTGAAGTGAACTGGAAGACGTTCTGTCGCTGCCCTTGTCAAGATCTTCACGTTTTTGCTGCCATGAGCCATGTAGTATACGTTCACGGAGCCGAACATAGCATCAAGAAGTGGAGTAATTGCCCAAGAACCACAAAGGCTAATTCAATCGGGGATGGCGAAGCCTAGGGAGAATTCCCTGGACAAATTTGTCCAGTTCTCCGTAGTTCTCATGCCACTTCTCAAATTTCACGATAAGGAATTCGTCATCATCCTTGTAGCCGTCCTCAGCGAGTGTCTTATGCAAATAGGCCTCAACTGCTTGAGATTTCTCTGCGGGTATAACTGGATGATCCTCAGGCCACTGGATCAGGAATGGAACGTCATCAGCAATCAATTGTCGCATTTTCTGAAGATCAGCCTCTGTGCTTGGTGGCGCAAACATTGGCATGGCCACGGAAGGAATATCAGATTTGGACCTTAGGATTGTATGAATGGAAAAATCACGCAAGAGCTGCAAAGCTTTGAGAAACTCACCTGAAAACATTGAACAGAAGATATGTCATGTAATGTGTTATGTAACCCAAGAGGCCCAATGTGCTCCTTCTTGTCGGGAACGGCTGGCTGGTAGCACACGTAGTCTTGAACGCCCTTCAGTGCCAGCCCAAGACGTAGTGCTGGCTTGAAGAGCATATCCAGGTTGAAGCACGACATTGACATGCAATGGAAAAATCAAAGAGCGAGGAACCGTGTTCAGCCTTTGCTGCAGCCAGATAGCTGCAAACGTGCGTGCATAAACTGACTGACAGTGAACACTGTGCCGCGCAAAGGTGCATGCCATTACAGGATCGTGAAGTCTTTCACATCTGACCTGAGGCTGCTGTTAAAACGACTAGCCATTGGGACAATCACAAGTTGAAAGCGGACACAAATTGGATGAGTGTGGAACTGCAAGTCAAAGGTCGGAACATGAAAAGACTCCGAAGGAAGCCGTCGTTACAAACAAAAGGGCTTGTGAGGACACCATTACCAATATTCCAAGTCAATCATTGAACAACTATGAGCAACAACAATAGCGCACCTTGTAACGCCTGAGGTTACCTAAATAGAATCATGATCTGGCAAACATGTCTGCCAGAGTGATCACGTTAACTTTTATATTTAAGCTCAACCACAAGCTCTGTGTCCTGCGCGTTGCAGCGGATTTGTCTAAATCATTAAAATAGCCACGCTGGAAACTATTCCTCTCGGGGCCCTGACGTTAACCTTTTCCTCGCCAAAGCGCAGGAAAGGTAACGCTCCCCCGGCGACCCCTAAGCAGCCACCAAACCGGCGCTCCTTAGGCCCAAACACCTTTCTGAGAGGTCTACCTCACGGTGGCGCCACCTCAGTGCAAACTATGGCCGGTACTCCCATGGAGTGAGCTTCGTTCCTTTAACAACATCGTTGGTTGAAAAGTTTGCGCCGCGCGTATGGTTTGGGGGTCAGAAATACGAAGTAAACTTAACCAAAAAAGGTCACTCTCAGTGACAGTGCCCGACCTTCCCCTGGAAAGCGAGTGCAACGCAAGCAGCGAATCGACAAGGTGCGCAGAACGAACTGGCCCTTCATCCGGCTCTCGGATACGCCGCGCTAGCTAGCGACATCTTCATCGCTCGCAGCTCTAAAGCGTTGATGTGTTCCGGGTCTCCGGACCGGCAACCTCGCGCCATCTCCACAGTTTACCTGGAATGCATCCGTAGGCGGTGATACCTGGCAGGAATGTCAGAACCAAGCCGCAGGAGGATATCTTCTCCCATGATGGATACCTGCCCTGACACCTTTCGAACAAGACCAACCTCGGGAAAGCCTCGCTCCGTGGAGTGTCTCAGAGGCCGACGGCGGAGGGACCCGGGCCGAAGCCGCTCAACCAATGCTTGGACACTCGCGCACTCAAGAAATCCCAAACTGAAACAGGAAGCTTAGCAAACAGGTGACAACGCGAGCAAACGACTGTTGTCTATCAACGAGAGGCGCTGATCCATCCACGCTGTGGCGGCGTATTCCTGCTTAGGTGTGGGTGTAGTGGAATCAACGGGGAACCCCATAATACCCCAGCGCTAATATTGGGAGGATGCATACGTGGACCCAGCAAGCGTGGAATAACGAAGAGATGGATTGCGCTTCTTCCAACTGCTCTCCAGGAAGTCTTCTTCAGTGACCTGAGCGTTCAAATTTACAACATCCTTCAATGGCAATCGATGCCCCTCTCCTGTTGCAACCTCACAACCGTTCCAAGGCTCCCAGTTCATCCAATACAACTGCAGGCGACGTCCAAGACTCACTCCACTAACCAGGGCCTGCTTCCAAAGGACTCACTAGTCAAAGACGTCCATGGATGCGACATTCTCAGCCAAAGTGTGCGCCGGCCACCACTCAAAGAACCTTTTGGGAGGGACTCAACTCGTCCGTCAAGGAGAGCTCCTCGTCTGTCCACGTTTAGGCCGGACACTTCAGCAAACAAAACTTCTGGGAACCAAGCCTCCACTATACATACTATACGCGTCTAGATCTCGACCAAAACGTGGCCTGCAGCTGGGACTTGCGCCTGGCCTACTTCATTCTGCCCAGCGAGATCACCGCGGCAAGTTTGCTCGCGCAGCACGCCGCCAGAAGTCGACGCGTCACTAGCTGTCACGCGTTCTGATACAGGAATCCGGGAGTCTATTTATTCCAATGGGCTAGCGCCGCAAAACTTTCCAGTTCCAAGCGCGACTTCCTTCCCTAGCGTGCCTCGACGCCGGGGACCAAGTCTAAGTTCCCCCGTGTCCAACAGCAACGCGCCGCCGCAGACGATTGAGACCTGTTGAAGTGGACGACGGAAAAGATCCTTCAGATAAGCCCGTCCTGCGACGATTGCTCCGCAAGCCAACCTGACATAGCGCGCGACCTGAACTTGGGGGTATTGAATTCGGTCACGCATCAACATAATATAGCCCGATGATTTTAATCAACGTCTTGACCTTCCTTTGACGATTTCTGCCGGCTGGAGACTCGCGTTGTCCGCAAACCCAAGCAACGCAACAGGTCACAAGCGTTGGTTGCCATTGCGCGACTTTCGGCTCATGCAGGGTTGCTATTTATTCCAGCTCCTTACCTTTTTTGACCCACCCGCTTGGCAAACGAGACTCGCGGAATATGGCTGCGGAGTGCTCCTGGGGCGCCCAGACGCCGTCGCCGTGCCCGCAGCACAGCCGTTCTACACGGCAGTGTTGGTGGTGTACGCGCCGTGCGCGGCTGCCACCGCGCGCTTAGCCTCAATAGCCCGAGCGACTCCTTTCTTGGGACGTCGTCGTAGCCCCATGTGTTGATATCACCTACAATCAACTCCGCGGTCTTCCGGTAAACTTTCCTCAACTCATCACAGTTATCCAGAGAAACTCTAAACAAGTGAGCCGCGCTACTTCCAAAGGGGCCCCGTCTGATCTCTTGGTGTCCCGTGGCAAGCCGTTGCTCGCCCCTCAGGGCTTGATTGACGACACAGCGATGACTGTGTTGTGCTATCGCGGCAGAATCCACAAACTGCATTGGGAGCGCTTGAGTAGTTGGAAGGATTAGGATTAGGATTATGGAGGACTGCAACCTGCCGGATAAATCCGTGGTATAAACAGCCATGAGATGTCGAGGCTTTCCAAGCCCCTAGGCAGTAAGCAGCGCAAGCACCACTCGAGGGAAAAAAAAGCCAGAATCCCGGCCCGGCTACATTGCGACGGGGGCCAAACCAGCATAGCAGAGGAAAGGCCGGCATGTGAAGGCCGCCCAACCAGCGGCCGACGAAATCCATCACATAAAAAGTGAAGTGACCAAAACTGGCAAATCGTAAAACGAATTGGCAAGAAATATCGCTCACCAAAGCCAAACACCTGGTAAGCATTGGCGGCAACCCGCAATCAGAATGAACCGCCGGGCCAGGCCAGATCTCCGGGGAAATTGAACCCTGTTCGCACCAACCAAGCCACACCATGTTTCCAAGGGAATCAAACCCTGAGCTGCACCATGCCTAAGGGGGAATCGAACCCCAGGCCGCATCATGTCTCCAGGTGAATCGAACCCCGACTTGCCAGCAAGACCTAGACACAGGCCAAGCAGCACACCATCACGCGGGCGCCGTTGTCAGGGGACCGTAGCCGGGCATGTCATGGCCCTTGAGCCAAAATGGCTTGAGTAGTTGGACGCCATCCCCCTTGCATCCCTCTGGAGGGCTCCTGCTGGCGCCCCCAGCCCAAGCCCCATGTATGGCCACGACGGTGGGGGAGTGCGGAGTGCGGAACAAGTAGAAAAACACCGCGGGTGTCCAGAAGTGTTCATTCCCGCAACACTCGGCAAGGCCTTGCTCATCTACCGCCTGTTCCTCCAATGGACGGTGCTTTCGCAGATGTTGATCCGTAATGAAATAACTAGGCACACGTGACCTGTGCTGCAGAATATTGAGCATAGCTGAACAAAGTGGTTGGTTGTTCGGGCTGAAGAACACAGGGATCAACTGCAGGGGTCTGGATCCGGCGCACGGGGTTGCAGCCTGGTGTAGGAAGTGGTTCCCTTGGTGGCTGCTGCCTGCGCCGGTGGCGTTTACAAGCAGTAAGGGTCGGAAGGCGGTGTTGTGCTGCCACGAAAGCAGCAGGCTAAAAAAAAGGAATGGAGAGGTTGAATCTTTTCTGCTCCATCCACCCCGCCCCAACTTCAATGTTGAGAAATTGGGTTTTCAACGGTTGATGTTCGAAGAACATGTCGGTGCTGCTGTACTCCAACCCAACATTGAAGTTGGAGGGCATGGGAGGCAGGGTTCCTCTTTTTGCATGGGGCCACAGCCACATTGTTGAACGCGGGCCCAGAAAATCAATGAGAAATGGTGGCAGTGTGGAGGGGGCCTCCTTGGTGAAAGTTGATGCGCCTTGAACTTGAAGGTTCATTGCAACATCCAAAATGACCAGAGGGTATAGGTCCGTCGCACCGCTTTCCGCATGGAGCCAACAGAGCCGACGGTGGACCTTGCGGGGGATTGAGCTCGAAAGTGAATTGGCTTCAGGGCTGGTGCGCCGGAAGTGGGGGCTGGATCCTTGGCTGAGAGTCACACCCGACTCCCGTCTCCCGTGTCTCACCAGTAGACCAATAGCACTGGGAGCTCCCACTCCCATGAGCAAGGGCCAGATATGCCTGAAAAAAGCCCAGCAAAGTCCTGATGCTGCAGGGGGGTCGCCCTTTCGGTGCGGCGCGCATCCTTTGGGAGAAGACCCGTCAGGAGCTCCTCCCATCAAGCGCCCTGAAGCCCAACCAATGCCACGGCAGAATAGAGCTTGTTTTGCGTTTAACCATGGGGGCATTTAGTCATACGCGTCAGCATGTTGCGGGCGCTGCGTCGCAGCCTCACAGCGTAATCAATAAGTAAACCCGACGGCAATGGAGAGGCTTACTTGCACGCGCCCTGAGACCACAAAGCGTGAGGTAGACCTACAAAACTCGACTGACGGACACTGCTCGAGAGCAAAGAACAAAACACGCTCAAGATTTCTGAGAGCGCCGGTCACTTTTGCTGCAACTAAAATCGCAAGGCCACCCTGAATGACGTATTGGCTATGTCTGCGCGCTAATGCTACTGCGTTGGTGAACATATTCACAACTTTGGGACACATGCAAAAGTGATCAGTTTTGAAGACGTGTTAAGTTCATTGAACACACCAAACACTTAATGT